ACGCAGGGTGCAGTCGCACCTCCACAGATCTCCAGTATCATCTATTGATACTGGAAATGGCTCAAAAGGGCCACCACTTATGGGCTATTCATGCCCATGCCACCTTTTGGGTGGCTTAATCTTCATCATCAATCTTCATCATCGACGCTGAGTAAAATAAAACTTGATGAGTCTTATTTTACTCAGCGTCCCTCACGGCTCCTCACTGTGAGGGAGGGAGAGTAACCGCCCGGAGCCGCTGATCGTTTTGTTTACATCCAGAGTGAACGACATGTGATGGAGCTGGAGATCTTCACAAGACAATACCGCACAAACTAATCTTAATCCCAGTGATAACACACTAAAATAGCTCCCTGAGATAGTCAGGAAGGTGTTGTGTTAAAAAACAGGACGAATTACTGATATATTTATCTAAATACTCGAGTAGAGAGTGGCTCACCACGAGTGTGGGGTCGCTCTCCACCACCACCTCATATCTTAATCCAAGATAGACGCTACAGGGGCGGTATCTAATCACTGCAGCGAGGCTGTTATACCATCAAAATACTGTTCCTTATCTCATCAAGAGATCATAAATCTGCCAACTTGTCAGAGGGCGCCGGTTCTCAATTCTGGATAAGTTATTAAGTGTTTTTAGAGCGTAAATTGGCCAGTTGCGTGCTTCATAACCTTAATATACTCATATAAAATTGTGAATCGCTAAGCAGCGGGGACACAGTACCCCATCAATCCAATAAGCATCTGTTATTATTTTCAATTTAAATCTGAATATATGTATGAATATATGTTTACATAATGAATCATTATAATTTATCAATTGCTATCACAATTATCATTAAATTATCATTTACTTGCATATTTGCATATAAATCTTGTTTCAATCATGTAACTAGTTGTTAGTTATATTTACTAGTGTAATATCATTATTGGCTGCAATATTTTTAGAGCTGGGTCACTGTGTATTGTTTACATCTATTGATTCTAGAACTGAACCAGTAATTACAGTCATTGTAATGTTGTTTATCATTTAATCCATTGTATAAATACAATGCTGATGTGTTGAAATGTCAACAGAGACATTGTGGTTCTTCAATCAATACCCTTGTGTACCCAGTAGAAGTGTACTTACTCATTACAGCCCATTTACCTGCATCAAGGACACGAGGAGCAGCTGGCCTTACAACCCAGCTAAAGACTTTTCTCAGCTTTATTTTGCATGCTTAGCTTAAAGTAGCTTTGAATTAAGTTCCAGTTATCGTACATTTATCCAGGCATTTTCCCCCACAACTTGGAAGTAAATTATATCATACAAAGAACTACATATCAGAGCTAAATATATACACGGATTACCCCTTGAGAATCTGTATTAGAGGAGATTGTTGATGCTTGACAGGTCCTTGGCCTGGGAACAAGTACAAGGGGCTTAATCGCACTTCAGATATGGGAAAAGCATAAAACTTTAGGATAAGCAGCTAGCGAACTCAGATGATGACAGTCATTAAGAACATGTGAATTAGTCCTGATTACATCTACCCCCCCCTCCCACCCCCCCACCGACCCCCTCTCACAACACACGTGCTTACCCAATATTTAAAGTCTATTACTGAAAGCTGTTAACCTGTCTCGATAATACTAGCTGGAAGGTCAGCCCACTCGGCCCCATCAATACTTTGACACCAATACTTCCCTTCATCCAACTTAAAACTATATTCCCAGAACCCCAATGCCCGAAACGCTTTGCGTAATAGTGGCTTTAGGCATTGTATGTACTAGCTCTACCTATAAGTCAACCAATCTTTGTAAAAATTTATTGTATGTATGTACCTTACCTAAATAAACATTTTATTTTATTTATTTTTATATATAACTTCTTAGGTTTGTAGCCTTTGTTGTGGGTTGAGACTTGCTGCGTCCCACACGGCCCGTTCCTCTCTGGGAAGTGCTGAGGGAAACACCTCAGTCTCTGAAGATTGTTCTCAGTGGTACTCTACATCCTGGAGGGAAGGTGGCAGGGAAGACGGTCTTCTTGAGGTTATCTTGAGATGATTTCGGGGCTTTAGTGTCCCCGCGGCCCGGTCCTCGACCAGGCCTCCACCCCCAGGAAGCAACCCGTGACAGCTGACTAACTCCCAGGTACCTATTTACTGCTAGGTAACAGGGGCATTCAGGGTGAAAGAAACTTTGCCCATTTGTTTCTGCCTCGTGCGGGAATCGAACCCGCGCCACAGAATTACGAGTCCTGCGCGCTATCCACCAGGCTACGAGGCCCCTGTCTGTGTTTAAGACCAGCGTCTCTGACATCCTGCTGCACCGGGAGGGTTCTCCTGAGAGTTAGCAGGTTAAGAACAGTCGACATTTGGAGGGGAAAATATTCATTTGTAGAAAATAACATGTATGACCAAAATTTGATTTGGTGGATATATGGATTACAGCCTTCGCTTCCTCTCTTCTTCAGCACTGATCCTTGCCTCTCTCCCTCCACACACTTCCCTCCCTCCCTCTACATTCTTGCCTCGCTCCCTCCCTCCACACACTTCAGCACTGATCCTTGCCTGTCTCCTACTGTCCATATTCCCCCTATCTAACTCCTCCCTCCACACACTTCCCTCCCTCCCTCCCTCCACACACTTCCCTCCCTCCCTCCACACACTTCCCTCCCTCCCTCCACACACTTCCCTCCCTCCCTCCCTCCCACCACACACTTCCCTCCCTCCCTCCACACACTTCCCTCCCTCCCTCCACACACTTCCCTCCCTCCTTCCACACACTTCCCTCCCTCCCTCCCTTCCTCCCTCCACACACTTCCCTCCCTCCCTCCACACACTTCCCTCCCTCCTTCCACACACTTCCCTCCCTCCCTCCCTCCACACACTTCTTTCCCTCCCTCCACACACTTCCCTCCCTCCCTCCACACACTTCCCTCCCTCCCTCCCTCCCACCACACACTTCCCTCCCTCCCTCCACACACTTCCCTCCCTCCCTCCACACACTTCCCTCCCTCCCTCCCTCCACACACTTCCCTCCCTCCCTCCACACACTTCCATCACTCCCTCCACACACTTGCCTCGCTCCCTCCCTCCACACACTTCCATCCCTCCCTCCACACACTTCCCTCCCTCTCTCCACACACTTCCCTCCCTCCCTCCACACACTTCCCTCCCTCCCTCCCTCCCACCACACACTTCCCTCCCTCCCTCCACACACTTCCCTCCCTCCCTCCACACACTTCCCTCCCTCCCTCCACACACTTCCCTCCCTCTCTCCACACACTTCCCTCCCTCCCTCCACACACTTCCCTCCCTCCCACCACACACTTCCCTCCCTCCCTCCACACACTTCCCTCCCTCCCTCCACACACTTCCCTCCCTCCCTCCACACACTTCCCTCCCTCCCTCCACACACTTCCATCCCTCCCTCCACACACTTCCCTCCCTCTCTCCACACACTTCCCTCCCTCTCTCCACACACTTCCCTCCCTCCCTCCCTCCCACCACACACTTCCCTCCCTCCCTCCACACACTTCTCTCCCTCCCTCCACACACTTCCATCCCTCCCTCCACACACTTCCCTCCCTCCCTCCACACACTTCCCTCCCTCCCTCCACACACTTCCCTCCCTCCCTCCCTCCCACCACAGACTTCCCTCCCTCCCTCCACACACTTCCCTCCCTCCCTCCACACACTTCCCTCCCTCCCTCCACACACTTCCCTCCCTCCCTCCACACACTTCCCTCCCTCTCTCCACACACTTCCCTCCCTCCCTCCACACACTTCCCTCCCTCCCTCCCACCACACACTTCCCTCCCTCCCTCCACACCCTTCCCTCCCTCCCTCCCTCCCTCCCACCACACACTTCCCTCCCTCCCTCCACACACTTCCCTGCCTCCCTCCACACACTTTCCTCCCTCCCTCCACACACTTCCCTCCCTCCCTCCACACACTTCCATCCCTCCCTCCACACACTTCCCTCCCTCTCTCCACACACTTCCCTCCCTCCCTCCACACACTTCCCTCCCTCCCTCCCTCCACCACACACTTGCCTCCCTCCCTCCACACACTTCCCTCCCTCCCTCCACACACTTCCCTCCCTCCCTCCCTCCCACCACACACTTCCCTCCCTCCCTCCACACACTTCCCTCCCTCCCTCCACACACTTCCCTCCCTCCCTCCACACACTTGCCTCCCTCCCTCCCTCCACCACACACTTGCCTCCCTCCCTCCACACACTTGCCTCCCTCCCTCCACACACTTGCCTCCCTCCCTCCCTCCCTCCACCACACACTTGCCTGCCTCCCTCCACCACACACTTCCCTCCCTCCCTCCACACACTTCCCTCCCTCCCTTCACACACTTCCCTCCCTCCCTCCACACACACTCCCATCCCTCCCTCCACACACTTCCCTCCCTCTCTCCACACACTTCCCTCGCTCCCTCCACACACTTCCCTCCCTCTCTCCACACACTTCCCTCCCTCCCTCCACACACTTCCCTCCCTCCCTCCCTCCCTCCCACCACACACTTCCCTCCCTCCCTCCACACACTTCCCTCCCTCCCTCCACACACTTCCATCCCTCCCTCCACACACTTCCCTCCCTCTCTCCACACATTTCCCTCCCTCCCTCCACACACTTCCCTCCCTCCCTCCCTCCCACCACACACTTCCCTCCCTCCCTCCACACACTTCCCTCCCTCCCTCCCTCCACACACTTCCCTCCCTCCCTCCACACACTACCCTCCCTCCCTCCACACACTTCCATCCCTCCCTCCACACACTTCCCTCCCTCCCACCACACACTTCCCTCCCTCCCTCCACACACTTGCCTCCATCCCTCCCTCCACACACTTCCCTCCCTCCCACCGCACACTTCCCTCCCTCCCTCCACACACTTGCCTCCCTCTCTCCCTCCACACACTTCCCTCCCTCCCTCCACACACTTCCCTCCCTCCCTCCACACACTTCCATCTCTCCAAACTTTTCTTACCTCCGTCAACTGAGCCAATTTACATACCAGAGTTGAGCCGTCTCGCACTGTTTGTTCTCTTCTCCGCTACTTCAGCATGCAGGACCACTCCAACTGCTTCAAACAGCATCTCTTGACACATCCCCAACACAATACCTCCACTATGACACATCCCCAACACAATACCTACACCATGACACATCTCCAACACAACACCTCCACTTTGACACATCCCCAACACAATACCTCCACCACGACACATCCCCAACACAACACCTCCACTTTGACACATCCCCAACACAGTACCTCCACCATGACACATCCCCAACACAATACCTCCACCACGACACATCCCCAACACAATACCTCCACCACGACACATCCCCAACACAATACCTCCACCACGACACATCCCCAACACAACACCTCCACTTTGACACATCCCCAACACAACACCTCCACCACGACACATCCCCAACACAATACCTCCACCATGACACATCCCCAACACAACACCTCCACCATGACACATCCCCAACACAACACCTCCACCATGACACATCCCCAACACAACACCTCCACCATGACACATCCCCAACACAACACCTCCACTTTGACACATCCCCAACACAACACCTCCACCACGACACATCCCCAACACAATACCTCCACCACGACACATCCCCAACACAATACCTCCACCACGACACATCCCCAACACAATACCTCCACCATGACACATCCCCAACACAATACCTCCACCACGACACATCCCCAACACAATACCTCCACCACGACACATCCCCAACACAATACCTGAACTTTGACACATCCCCAACACAATACCTCCACCACGACACATCCCCAACACAATACCTCCACCACGACACATCCCCAACACAACACCTCCCCCATGACACATCCCCAACACAACACCTCCACCATGACACATCCCCAACACAATACCTCCACCACGACACATCCCCAACACAATACCTCCACCATGACACATCCCCAACACAATACCTCCACCATGACACATCTCCAACACAATACCTCCACCACGACACATCCCCAACACAATACCTCCACCATGACACATCCCCAACACAATACCTCCACCATGACACATCCCCAACACAATACCTCCACCACGACACATCCCCAACACAATACCTCCACCATGACACATCCCCAACACAATACCTCCACCATGACACATCCCCAACACAATACCTCCCCCATGACACATCCCCAACACAATACCTCCACCATGACACATCCCCAACACAATACCTCCACCATGACACATCCCCAACACAATACCTCCACCACGACACATCCCCAACACAATACCTCCACCACGACACATCCCCAACACAACACCTCCACCATGACACATCCCCAACACAATACCTCCACCACGACACATCCCCAACACAATACCTCCACCATGACACATCCCCAACACAACACCTCCACCATGACACATCCCCAACACAATACCTCCACCATGACACATTTTCATCACCTTAATTATACAGATAATCGTCAACATTTCCCGCAAGCACCTCATGTTCCTCATGTTCCTCATGTTGCTCATCTCCATCATGGAGTGTGAGGTCACGAGCCTCATGCCTCATATCACCGCAATATGTTGACCTCCACATGGCTAATATCAGCGAGATAGAGTGAGGAAAGAGATACAATCCATGGTGTTAGAGCCAGGAGTGACCAAAGTCACTATACTAGAGCCAGGAGTGACCAAAGTCACTATACTAGAGCCAGGAGTGACCAAAGTCACTATACTAGAACCAGGAGTGACCAAAGTCACTATACTAGAGGTAAGAGTGACCAAGGTCACTATACTAGAACCAGGAGTGACCAAGGTCACTATACTAGAACCAGGAGTGACCAAGGTCACTATACTAGAGGCAAGAGTGACCAAAGTCACTATACTAGAAGCAAGAGTGACCAAGGTCACTATACTAGAACCAGGAGTGACCAAAGTCACTATACTAGAACCAGGAGTGACCAAAGTCACTATACTAGAACCAGGAGTGACCAAAGTCACTATACTAGAACCAGGAGTGACCAAGGTCACTATACTAGAACCAGGAGTGACCAAGGTCACTATACTAGAGGCAAGAGTGACCAAGGTCACTATACTAGAACCAGGAGTGACCAAGGTCACTAGACTAGAGGCAAGAGTGACAAAGGCCACTATACTAGAACCAGGAGTGACCAAGGTCACTAGACTAGAGGTAAGAGTGACCAAGGTCACTATACTAGAACCAGGAGTGACCAAGGTCACTATACTAGAGGCAAGAGTGACCAAGGTCACTATACTAGAACCAGGAGTGACCAAGGTCACTATACTAGAGCCAGGAGTGACCAAGGTCACTATACTAGAGGCAAGAGTGACCAAGGTCACTATACTAGAACCAGGAGTGACCAAGGTCACTATACTAGAGCCAGGAGTGACCAAGGTCACTATACTAGAACCAGGAGTGACCAAGGTCACTATACTAGAGTCAGGAGTGACCAAGGTCACTATACTAGAGCCAGGAGTGACCAAGGTCACTATACTAGAACCAGGAGTGACCAAGGTCACTATACTAGAGTCAGGAGTGACCAAGGTCACTATACTAGAACCAGGAGTGACCAAAGTCACTATACTAGAACCAGGAGTGACCAAAGTCACTATACTAGAACCAGGAGTGACCAAGGTCACTATACTAGAGATAAGAGTGACCAAGGTCACTATACTAGAGGTAAGAGTGACCATGGTCACTATACTAGAGCCAGGAGTGACCAAGGTCACTATACTAGAACCAGGAGTGACCAAGGTCACTATACTAGAACCAGGAGTGACCATGGACACTATACTAGAGCCAGGAGTGACCATGGACACTATACTAGAACCAGGAGTGACCAAGGTCACTATACTAGAACCAGGAGTGACCATGGACACTATACTAGAACCAGGAGTGACCATGGTCACTATACTAGAACCAGGAGTGACCATGGACACTATACTAGAACCAGGAGTGACCAAGGTCACTATACTAGAACCAGGAGTGACCATGGACACTATACTAGAACCAGGAGTGACCAAGGTCACTATACTAGAACCAGGAGTGACCATGGACACTATACTAGAACCAGGAGTGACCATGGTCACTATACTAGAACCAGGAGTGACCATGGACACTATACTAGAACCAGGAGTGACCAAGGTCACTATACTAGAACCAGGAGTGACCATGGACACTATACTAGAGCCAGGAGTGACCAAGGTCACTATACTAGAGCCAGGAGTGACCAAGGTCACTATACTAGAGCCAAGAGTGACCAAGGTCACTATACTAGAGCCAGGAGTGACCAAGGTCACTATACTAGAGGTGAGAGTGACCAAGGTCACTATACTAGAGGCAAGAGTGATCAAGGACACTATACCAGAGGCAAGAGTGATCAAGGACACTATACCAGAGGCAAGAGTGACCAAGGACACTATACTAGAGGCAAGAGTGACCAAGGTCACTATACCAGAGGCAAGAGTGACCAAGGTCACTATACTAGAGCCAGGAGTGACCAAGGTCACTATACTAGAGGCAAGAGTGACCAAGGTCACTATACTAGAGGCAAGAGTGATCAAGGACACTATACCAGAGGCAAGAGTGACCAAGGTCACTATACTAGAGGCAAGAGTGACCAAGGTCACTATACTAGAGGCAAGAGTGACCAAGGTCACTATACTAGAGGCAAGAGTGACCAAGGACACTATACTAGAGGCAAGAGTGACCAAGGACACTATACTAGAGGCAAGAGTGACCAAGGTCACTATACTAGAGGCAAGAGTGACCAAGGTCACTATACTAGAGGCAGGAGTGACCAAGGTCACTATACCAGAGGCAAGAGTGACCAAGGTCACTATACTAGAGGCAAGAGTGACCAAGGTCACTATACTAGAGGCAGGAGTGACCAAGGTCACTATACTAGAGCCAGGACTGACCAAAGTCATTATACTAGAGGCAACAGTGACCAAGGTCACTATACTAGAGGCAAGAGTGACCAAGGACACTATACTAGAGCCAGGAGTGACCAAGGTCACTATACTAGAGGCAGGAGTGACCAAGGCCACTATACTAGAGCCAGGAGTGACCAAGGTCACTATACTAGAGGCAGGAGGGTAGATGGGTACAGGGTACATGGACACTATACAAGAGTGCAGGAGGTAGCTATAGAGACATCATCCATGAGAGCACCTCTACAGGGGAAGGTGACTCTGTTAAGAGCCCCAAGATATATCTCCTGGTCCCAGGTCCTGAAGTACCAGTATAACCCTAACACCCGTAATTATTACACGACCGAATCACTAAGGTATCAATTAAGTGGATCTAACATCGTCCTGGAAGAAGGAATTATGGCATAAACTCCGGCCAGGAACAGACCAACAACCACGTGTCGATATGTGCGTTTAACACCTGAGTGTAGCAGGTGTTAAATACCTGAACGAGTGATATCACACGGAGCAGAGAAGGTGAGAGAGAGAAAGGTGAAATCAAGTGTAACAAGTTCAGTGGAAGGCTTGTTGCTTAGACTTGACCTCACCTTGGAGACCCATAGTTGAGGTAAAGCAGAGGCCTGGCTGTGACACAAGCGACCCCATGACACGACACAGGCAGCGTGCCACGGGAGAGTGCCAGGGATCAGGCAGGCATGCCAGGTGCAAGGGAAAATTGTCATTGAATAATGGGCCAACGCAACTAACCCAGATTCAAACTGATGGCCCCGAAAGCCTCTCTGGATACCGAAGAAGCTTAGTGTAAAGGCGAGACCCAAGCTTGCTGCTGTTACAGAGTGGGCTGACCCACCGTGTGTGGTGGGGGCGAGGGGAGGTGTGCTCATCACGGTGGGCTGGGCAAGGCGGGGGGGAGAGGGATGGAAGGGAAACGGGAAGGGGAAGCAGAAGGGAAAAAAGAAGGGAAGAGATCACCCTAGAGTTCCATAACTGTGGTCAGGTGAACCTGTGGACCGCCAGCTCCCTCTGAACTTTCCATACAAGTGTCATTACGCTGTGGCTTGCTGTATGTGGTCCTCGTGTCTGTAGTACTGCTGTGTTATTGTTATTGTCCACCTCAGGGTACAGTCGTACACCTCAGGGTACAGTCGTCCTCCTCAGGGTACAGTCGTCCACCTCAGGGTACAGTCGTCCACCTCAGGGTACAGTCGTCCACCTCAGGGGTACAGTCATACACCTCAGGGTACAGTCGTCCTCCTACAGTCGTCCTCCTCAGGGTACAGTCGTCCACCTCAGGGTACAGTCGTCCACCTCAGGGTACAGTCGTCCACCTCAGGGTACAGTCGTCCACCTCAGGGTACAGTCGTCCACCTCAGGGTACAGTCGTCCACCTCAGGGTACAGTCGTCCACCTCAGGGTACAGTCGTCCACCTCAGGGTACAGTCGTCCACCTCAGGGTACAGTCGTCCACCTCAGGGTACAGTCGTCCACCTCAGGGGTACAGTCATACACCTCAGGGGTACAGTCGTACACCTCAGGGGTACAGTCGTACACCTCAGGGTACAGTCGTCCACCTCAGGGGTACAGTCGTACACCTCAGGGTACAGTCGTCCACCTCAGGGTACAGTCGTCCACCTCAGGGTACAGTCGTCCACCTCAGGGTACAGTCGTCCACCTCAGGGTACAGTCGTCCACCTCAGGGTACAGTCGTCCACCTCAGGGGTACAGTCATACACCTCAGGGTACAGTCGTCCACCTCAGGGTACAGTCGTCCACCTCAGGGGTACAGTCATACACCTCAGGGTACAGTCGTCCACCTCAGGATCATATCAGATTCATTATCTATTGATCATATCTACTCTATCTACATTAGCATCCTGCATGACCATTAGTAAAATACAAAGTGGAGTAAAGCGAGCTCATGTATCCTGCCATGTTTTGCCATATTTTGGAGTATGGAGTTTTGCCATATTTTCTCCATTATAATCCTCATCCTAGCAGCCGCTACAGGAAGCCAATCCACAGCAAACGCTGCCAGGGACACAACCAACATCATGGCGGCCAAATCACCGTAAAGAATATAGAGTCTGAGCTCAACAAGAGAGTCACCATCTGGCTACTGTCAGGTGGTTCTCAATTCAGGATATGTTATTATTTGTTTTAGAGCGTAGATTAGCCAATTAGCATGCTTGATAACATTAATACATCCATATAAATTGTGAGTCGTTAGGCAGTGAGGCAACGCCTCATGATCTAGTAAGTTCTGACTAAATCTTTTCAGTGAATGAACCTCTTTTATTGCTGATTATTCATATAATCAGAAAACCCATATCTTGTGTATATAATTCATAAATATAATTTCATACCATTAATTGCCATATACATTAATCTTAATTTATCAAATTAGTTTATTTTATTGCATATAATAATTTTGTTATGCATATTTCCATATACCTTTGTGTAATTATACCTTGTGTGCAACAGTACAGATATTCCTATGACCAGACTAGAGAGTGTATAGTTCAAGTCCAAGATCATGAACCTTACCAGTGCTGGCAGTCACGGGGCTGTTTTATCATATCCTT